GAAAAAAATCTCTAAATTATTAACACATAATCATAGGCCAGAATGTGAAAAAAAATCTCTAAATTATTAACACATATGACTTCATCTTTTTTGTTATTTTAACCTATTTATTTTTACTATTTATATACCATTTAAAGTGTATTATAGGCCACATTGTTAAATACCCAGTACAACAGTGATCAGACAGGAATTAGGACGAAGCTGTTACGTCTAAACGCTTCATCAGTGACGTTCAGCGCCGTAGAGCGGTGCCAGCCAGCGCTGCTCATTTATTTGTCATTGTTTCACGAGTGTTGCAGTTTGGTAAACTCTCAACTTCAGAGGCTCCGAGACAAAACGGATCATAAAAAATTCCATCTGGTGCAGAGATAAACGTTGTCTTGCCTGCGTTAAATGTTGACTCTGATAAGTTCACCCGTTCGCGTCTCCTCTGATCTCTAACATGATCAGAAAGAAGCAGCACGAGTTTACACAGACACGACAAGAGAAGAGGAAAAAAGAAGTAATAAATAAGAAAGAGTTCCTCACAGAGACAGAACAGAAGTATTTTTGATAAGGACCCAAAGAGAAAACAAATCAAAAGATATTTTTATACAAGTCTCTTTTTTTTCAGCACAAAGAGCAGAAGTGGTGTCAGGAGAAAACAAAACCGAAGGGTTTGGTTCTGATGACTGCTGCAAGCTACACAGATCTCCTTCAGTCCCCAGATTTTCCTACTTTTATTTCTCTTCCCCTTTCTTCCTCCTCTCTCCGAGGGCAGGACGGGGCCCTGGTCGCGCCCTGATCGGTTTTCGGGCCGATGCCCAGCAACAACATTCCTGTGAAGCTCAGTAGCAGCGAAGCCTCTGGCTGAACTCTTTGATGTGGCTGTCAGGCCACATTTACTTCCTGTTAGCACTTTGTCCACATGTCCAGATGTATCAGCCGATAAAAAGGCTTCGGTGTTTACACTGTTCTTCTTCTGTAGAAACGCTGTAACTAGATTGTATTGCTGGTCAGTCCAAAGAAGGAAAGACACGGGAGGTGAATGGAGACGAGGAGCAGCTGTTTCACAATGAGCTGTACACCGTCCCCAGAAGACGTGTCCAAAGCGTGGCTCACAGGCCACTTTGGGTTTGGTGCAATCTCAAGCTTGTTTCCTGTCTCAGAAAGTGTGTATTCAGGTTTGACAAGTCTAGGGTCCAGGGTCTCGGGTAAATATGATCTTCAGTGACCACTGACTAATCACAGTTTGATTTCATCACAGACTTTAGTTCATCTTTCTCTGGGAACTTTCTAAAGTCTTGGTCATGATTCTCTCTCTCTCCATTATTTTGGTTCACATGGTAAACTTAGTTGTACTTACATAAGAAAGTATGCACAGACCTCCCTCAACCAACTTTGACGTTTTTCAGTCTTTAAAGGAAGTACTGTCACAACACTGCCTTTAAAACTTAGTAAACTTAGTTTTTATTCCATTTATTAGAAAATAAAACCAGCTACACAAACATGAACTTTCCTCAACTCACTCCAGTATTTCACATGACCAGGACCCACTCTGGTCGTGGTCATGACTCAGTCTCTTATTGTGGTTCTGACTCCAACACTGTCTTTGAAAACTTGATAAACCTTGATCTAGTTAGATCTAAGAGAGAAAGAAAGAATAGGTAGATGTGCGTCAACTTTCCCCAACTCACCTTCACTATCTTACATTCTCAGGAACCCCACTGTGGAGGTGGTCCACGTCTGCTGTGTCTCTCACACCTCCCTCATCTCTCTCTCTCTCTCTCTCTTTCTTCCTTCTGGAGGTGCTACTCTACCATCTCCACAATCATCTTTATCTCATCAGACTTTATCAGCATTTATTCACATGATGACAGAGAGGAAGTGAAGACAGTCAGCAGTGGTTTGATGAATTATCCTGTACAGGAATCATCTTTCATCATGACACTCAACTCTGCTTCCTTCTCTCTCTCTCTCTCTCTCTCTCTCTCTCTTTTAAAGCAACCACCAATGTTTTCTGTCAAACAATAAAAAAACCATCTGATTTTTGGTTTATTTCTTATTATTGTTTGTAGTGGACCTATTTCCTTTTTAAAGGTTATTCAAAAATGTAAAAATTACCAAGAGATTTAACATTAGGTCAGCTAAAAAAAAGAAGACTAGCACAAACTAATAACTAATGTGTCATTCAGTTTCTTAGTTATTACTTGGTGGAAAAAAATGTTGGATAAAATGCTGAGTTGTCTACAAAACAACCCAAAAAAATAAAACTACATTTAGTCAAGAGGCAAAGATATGGCAAAATAATTAAAGTCAGCTTGGTTAAATGTTAGAGAAAAGGGTACAAAATGGTTGAAGATGACCCAAAAAGACTGGCCAGTTGCACAGATAAAGCAGCTTTGGTAACAGGTTATCCTGGTTCCAGCAGTCAGGGTTCATTAACAACAGGGTAGAAAATCATTAGACAAAACACGGGGCCATAATAACTGTAAGGACTCAGTGGTGGGTGAAGTGTGATTGAGCTCCACTTCTTCCTTCTCTCGTCCTCCCTGTGTTCAAACCAGCCTATCCCAGAATCCTCAGAGCCCACACAGCGAGTGCGTGTGCGCTGCATTACATTACGGTAAGCTGTAGCGATAAGTCAGACGGTGGAGACAATAACGATGTGAACACTCAGCATATGCACCCGCACCGAAAATTAAAACAGCGCTCAGCCTGATGAGCAGACTAACACGGAGGAGAAACAGAGAGTGGAGAAGGAAGCACAAGGCGGTGCAGGAGACTCTGACATCAATGACACAGTAGCACCTCCCACTGGTCAGTGTAGAAAAGTCAAGAGAGGAAAAACTGGAACGGAAGAATTTTTAAAGACATTCCAGTAAAATAAAAATGAAGGAAATACGACATATGAAATGTAAAAAATAAACCCAGATATTACTGACTTTCTAAGTCTGGTTTATGACTAAATAAGTCACTGAGACATTTTCTCTTTTTATGTCCAATTGTTTATCATCAAAACTACAGGTCACTGCCGTAATTGTATTGTATTTGGTCTCAAATTGTTTACTCCTACAGGCAGGAAGGACAAAAAAACTTCATTATCATGAGATTAAAGAAATTAATTAATCACAGATGAAGTCCCTGAATCTGTTAGAAAAAAAAAAACATTGAAATAAACTAAATTGAGAAAAAAATGTATAAAAAAAATTCACTAAATATTAGCCCCTCTGTTCAAGTCTTTTCTGTGTTTTTTGGATTCACTAAATATTAGCTGTATTAGCTGTATACTGTTCAAGTCTTTTCTGTGTTTTTTGGGTTGATTTACTCTCAGTCTGATTTGTTGAGGTCATTTCTAGGCAGTACATTACGTTCTAGCAGTGAGAATCCAGCAGTTTTCTCTGGATTCAGTGATTGTTTCTTTTCATCAGCATGACCTGGAAGTTTGCTTTAACTTTCAGTGCAAGTGTTATTAGTAGAAATATTGAATTTCACCTGAAATCCCCTACAGTCCACCCTCCTCCTCTCACACAGTCTGTGGGTGGTTCTGCTAATAACGTGGCTACTGAGAAGATTAATGGTGAACCAGCAGCAGGATTAGAGGGAGTTTCTGGGGCCACACAGACCTGAAGAGGCCCAGGTCTGTGATCCTTCATGCAAGTCAGGAAATGAGGCGAGTGGAAATGTGCGCTCTGTCGTCGTTCAGAGGAGAAGGAAGAAGAAGGAAGAAGAAGGAAGAAGGTGGAATATGAACAACTGAGTCTGGGAGTCGCAGGTCACAAATCACACCTTAACCTGTTCATAATAATCATCAGCATCAAGAAGATTCAAAAGATAAATGTTGAAATGCCAATCTTTGCTGATTTAATTTAAACACAGCTCCAGTAATGAACACCTGGTGGTTCTCTGACCAACCGTGGGTGTAATTTTCACTCTGTACAGCAGGCTTTAATGTGGGCCCGTGCTCCTGCTTGTAGAACATTCTCTATACAATCACAGCTTACAGGCGAAGCACTGATCTGTCATCTTTATAACCAGTTCCAGCCACAGCAGAGCAGCAGGAGCAGCTCTGCTGTCAAAACTAAATTTCTATTTCCAAAACCAATCCCCAGAATAGGGCACAATACAGTACTGAGGACATTTTCTCTCTTTTTTTTTTTGTGCCGTAATCTGAGACACATGCTGGCCGTGGCCTTAATGCCTTTTTAGAGATTCTATCTGCGAGCACATTATGTGATCATTTTCAATTCCGCGTGCTCTCTCTCTGTTCTCCGTTGAAGAATATGGTTCCATTTAGCGTCGCCGCCGACCCTTCTATTTCTCAAGGCGATTCACAGGCATGTGTTGTGGAGAAGGAACAGCAATGAGAAGTGGAGAGGAAAATGCACCTCCAAAAGCATCGCTAATATGTATTTGTCAGCTGAGTTTCTCGCTATGATTAAAGGCCTCGGTTGAATTTCCTCCTGCAGGAACACGGACAGTGTTTTTCTGCAAAGGCATCAGATACGGCAAGGCTGGTGATAAACCGCCCCCTCTGTGAGGTAAAAGGCAAATGAAAGGGGGAAAGAGGAGAATGTTCTGCTGCTTAAAGGTGCAAAACAGGAAGAACTGGAGCAGAAAACTTTGGAGCTGCAGTCCTGGAGATATCGACAAAGATTCAGAGTCTGTGTTTCCCAGGTTTCTAAACCTCAACCTTCTGCTTTACACACGACTTGAGGGTAAATGTTACAGTGAAACGCATCTGATTGATACAAATATCCCCTCCCTACGTTGACTAACTAAAACAGCAGCAAATTATTTGTCCCAATGAAAAAGTCCCAATACAGAAAAGTATTTTTATAAATAAAGAGGACGGTACAGAAAAGTATTTTTATAAATAAAGAAAAAGGAAATGATCATTATCATTTTCTGCACCAAATGTAATTTAAAGAAATTCAGTAATATATTTAATATTACTGACATGGATAAACACCTCCTGTGGGACATTCACCTTTTTAACATCTTATCTTTTTTACCCACAGCCTTCCAGAGCCGCTCGCTCTGACACCTACCCACCGTCCTACACCCCCCTCCCCCACGGATCCAGAGATGCCAAACCCAAAAAAGGTAAGAAAACAGAAAGTATCCATAATTCACAACCTTTTCATTAAGACAGTTCTAGTAGAAATAACACAGACAAACGGTGTTTTAAAGCAGTCCAGTAGATAATGTAGATACGAGTGGTAACCTCAGCGTGTTCAGGGAGTGGAGGTCGATTGAACTACAGTCTGATCCACCGTGAGCCTCATCTTTTCTCACTGTTCTGAAACCCTCTGTGTGATGTGCTGGTAGTGGGAATAAATCTGAGTAATCTGGGTTAACTCTGAGCTGAATGCACATGTGGGAGCGCTCCGATCATGTTTGGGCTGAAGCAGCCTTGATCTGTTGATGCCAGACATTGATCAGGCCTCGTATTGACCCGACGTGGAGCCGTGATGTAACCATGAAGCAACATCTTCACATCAGACGGTGCAACGCAGGAGGAACTGGTCCGATTCGTTACAACCACTAACTTTTCTTTAAAAACTGAAGGCAGTATTGGTTAGGATCACATGCTGCTGCTGCTGCTGCTGCTGCTGCTGTTGCTGCTGCCTCTCTGTCCAATACCATCAAAACAACGTCTAAATACAGAACAAACTGCATTAAACTTGTATTATTGGGCCATTTCATATTATTTAAAATTATATCTGAGGCTTTGAACGTGAACCAGGCTTTGATCAGGGTTGTTAAAAATCTATACACTGAAATATCCTGATATTATTGATATTCTACAGCACTGTATTGATCTTTTATCAACAGTTAACATGCAAATATTCAGACCTCTAGTATCTTTGTATATCTCTATATATTGTTTAGTTCCACTGCAGCGTGAGATCCATGGTTTCACACACACACACACACACACCCGGCATATTGACAGTTTTCACCTATTATCTGCCTTATTGATATTTTTATATTTGTTAACAACAACAACGAGAGTTTTCTTAGAATATTTTAGAATATGAAGCGTGATCACATCTTTACCCTAATGCGACCCCGTGTCTAACAGACATATAGATGGTGTTCAAGTCGTTGGCCATTGGCTGCTCTATACAAAGGCAGAGCCCAGAGTCAGTTTCAAAGTGCGGCGCTGTGACACATGAAACAGTTTGCAGCTCCTCACAGATCTGAGCCTCGGTGACAGCATCCATTTGTTATTTTTATGAAGCCGCGCTGCAGTCTTCAGATAACAGCGCCCTCATCTTTGCCCTTCATGTCCCTGCCTCCAGCCTTCACCCCCTCATCATCATCCTCCACCCTTTGTGTTTTTTTTCCTCCTTTATTTACACTTCTTAAACACATGCACTAAAGTTTTCCATCTTCATGTGTGGGAGACGACGGTCACAGCGGCTCAGAGCTGCGGCTCAGAGCTGCGGCTCAGCCACAAACAAACACACTGTACGTCTCCAGCCAGTAATTTCCACAGAAACCAGGATATGTAACAATGGATAAGAAAAAAAAAATACTGTACTCTGTGATTTTACTTAGTTCAATGCAAAGACTGTGGTACATTGGAAAAGACACGGTGGATTTAGAAGAATCACAAGACATTCTCTTCAACATCTGCCGTGAAGGCTTCGCTCTTAAAGTACGGTTTCTGTTTTGTGTCATCACAACAGCTTTTGTTTTGGTGCAGCTTCCAGAAAAATACAGATTTTTGTTTTACTCCATGCTACTGGAAATTCAAAAAAGACTCAGAAGGAGAAAACTTTGAGGAAGTTGGACAGTTACTCCGCGTACAACAGTAGAGGAGCCACGAAAAGTTAGTGCACGTTACAAACCCATACAGCCACTCTCAACAGCTCCATCTTTTGGGGGGGGGGGGGGGGGGGGGGGGGTCACAGGACAAGGACGTTACAGCCTGGACAGACTTCAGTCCATCACAGGACAACATTCGTACCTCGGCTTCATTTAGATTGTCTTATCAGGCTAATCATGTTTTTCTGCTAACTGTGGTGAACCTACAGACACATAATAATTAACAGTCGTAGGTCACTGTTTTCTCATTTTCTTCTCACTGATTTTCAAGCATTACTCTTCTCCTGTGTTTGTGTTCTAACATAAATAGGAATTCTCAGAACAACAAATTTGGTCCCTGAAAATTGCTCCAGCTGTGAGGCTAGAACTTCGTATATGGATGATTTTTTTTTCTTAGCAGCTGCCATGATTCTTCCTCAGTCTTACACGCTCCTGCCATAATGAAAATATAAGGAAAGTTTATAAAGGGGGGTCTTGTGAAGCAGGCAACACAGTTGCTGTCACGTTACTGCCCCCCTCTGGCTCCCAGCTTCCTCCTTTTGTCCTTGGTTATTTTAGGGGCTAATGAATCTTCCTAGTTCTAATGGAGAGTTACTTTTATCCTGCCTCCTGCTGGAGATCAGCACCTGTTGGTGGCACAGAAACTACCTCCTGTCCTTTTCCCTCTCCCTCGCAGCCCTCTGTACCAACCCTTTTACCAACATGTCACCAGTGTAAGGAAGCCCCACAGCTTCCTGCCAGAGGTAATTAAAGCCAGTAGAAGAAAAATCTCACAGGAGGGGACTGCTGGCAGTGCACTGCCCAGGGAGAAAATGGGTGGACAGAAGTCCAGGAGAAGCCTCGGTCTGTGCCGGTGGAAGATTTGACCTGGAGCAGTCAAGAGCAGTGAGCAGAAATGGAAGGAAAGTAGATAGATGGCGCTTTTGGTCTAAATCAAGAATCCATAACCCAGATCTGGCCACAAATAGATGGATGAAGATAAAGGAGCTGATTTGAAGAAGTGCTGAGAAAGTCAGTAAAAACAAGGCTGCCACCAGGGGCTCTGGGTCGGCTTTAGCCACTGTGCCAGTGGTTCACTTTATGAACTGAAAACCAGCTACAGATGAATTATCTTTTTAACAATTACAGAACATCTGTCATTTAATTTAAAGAACAAGAGTTTAGTTGATCCACTGTTTCTTTTATCCATAGATTCTAATATGTCACTCTGCGGCTTCTTCACTTCTACTCCCGCTGTAACTTAGTGATTCTGTTTGTGATAATTATTGCTACGATGGAGCCACCGCTCAGCACCACATCTAGACATAAAGACTGATCACTTCAGCGTGTAAAACACCCAGCTGTGTTATTTATTTTCCCGGCTTTGTCGTTTCTCAACATGACACATTTTGAGGTGATATTCAGGTTTATTTCATACATCTAATTATAACTGCAGTTCAGAAGTAACGACAAAAAAAGGTGCTTCAGCCTTGATTGATTGATCCAAATGTGAGACATTTATCTAATAAAACACCTTTCATTTTCTTCTGTGTATTTCAATAAATATAGCAGGCGCTACAGTAACACGTATCAGATTAAATGTGAAAACAAGTCATCGCTCAACAATGACAGCAGTAAAAAGGAAGGAGACATGACAGGCAAAAACCATGAAGCCTGAAGTCAGAACAGTGCAGACCGACATTCAACCTGTGGAGCTGTGACGGGAGTGTCCTCCACTTTTATAGCACAACAACATTTGTCACTGTCTTCTTTTACTGATTGGCTGCTTGATTTACTTCAGGGAACCTGCACCGTCAAACAACGCAGCACTGTAGCAGCTCGTCCTGTATTTATTATTATTTATATATAAAATGGTAGATTTTTTTTATGGACTTTGGTGTGAGATATTTTGGTCATAAAGATAAGGCGTAATATATTCTAGGTTCTGGATGTATGTAAGTATGAAGCTTGACGTCTTAGCCTCTGGGCTGCTGTTGTTCTGGGCTAGCGTCCAGCTACTTTGTATGTTTGCATCTCAAATGGAGCACAACTGTTAATAAAGTCCCTGGAGAAAAGAAACCTTCAGAGCATCGAGATAAACTCCTTCCTGACGACACCCATGGGCGCGCTCACATTTGTTTGGCAGTTCTCTTTCATTATATGTCGGGGGTGATCTCCGCTGCAACTCCCCCCTCCATCAACAACCACCCACCAAAACCCCCTCAACCCCCCACCCCCTCGAAATTGAACAACGGGAACAGATCCAGAGACGCATAGTAAACTGTTTTACAGTTGCCGCACAACAAATAAACAAACATCTGGAAGCGTTCAGAGCAGCCCCATTAGAAGGGCCACTCTGGGCTTTGCCAAAAAGGGGTAAATGATGAGGAATGGGCTGTCGAGAGGCTGGCGGAGGCCGGGGAGAGGGCCAGATGACGGAGCTGTGGGTGCTAAGCACTGCCTTTTAGAGCTCAGCTGGGCTCAGAAGAGATCTACACCTGCTGCTATCTCCCCCCCCCGTCCCCCCCTCCGCCCTGCACCAGACATCTGGATGGATTTATATGACTAATGGATGACTAAACTGCAAGCGCTGAAAACTTAGCAGAGGGAAAGGTTGTCGGGTTTGACTGATGACTTCATGTTCTCCATGCGACGCAGTTAGTAAAACTTTCAGCGAGTTTGACAGCTCAAAAAAAAGGCCACAAAAATGTATAATTTAAGTATTTTAATGTGGTAATTGTTACAGTTTTTGTCCGAACATGTCTATGTGCGGCCTTTAACAAACTGCGTCACTGTTGCATTTCTACGTTGATTTTATTAAAGTTGACTGCAATTGTCACAACTGAGCGGGGGACTTAAAAAGGTACCAACTGTAATACTTTTTTATGAAGTGTAACGGTTCACTGGAGCTTCAAGTACGTTTGATGATCGAGAATGTCATGGTTCTGACCAAACACTTGATGTTTAACACCAAGCAGGACTTATTAACTTGCTAGCAGCAAAGCAAGGCAGGCATCAATGTCAAGGATTATTCATAAGCAAAAGGGAAACTCACATTTTCAATTTGGGATAAAAACACAGCTGCCAACGTTTATTTTTTTATTTTCTAAGACCTTTATTCAAATCTCTTTCTACCACAGTTTCACTGCCAGGACTTTGGCCAATAGTCAGCTCTGACCATATTTTCTCATTCAACCATAAATCCAAAAATGAATACTTGACATTTTTTAACAAAGTCAACTTGCCTTCTTGTAAATTTACTGCTTAATTACCACAAACAGCCAAGTGATTGTTCCTGCTCGTCCACTGACAATACCTCATCCCTGTTTGATGTCAGTTTCAAAACTCA